TCTCCAATTTCCAAGGGTTGCATGTCGTTTTCTTTGCTTGTTCTATGCATAGTTCTATGCATAGTTCTTCTTCCACTACTTAAGCATCAAAAAACTCTTCCTCATGCTTCAAAGTTCAGCTTAGATGTTGTCTGCTCTGGAAAGCCTTTCTCAAACTTCCTCAGCCAAAGTGACTGTCCCATTTCTAAATCTTATACTCTTCCTGTTAACTTTCTCACCAATGCCATTTGCTTAAATGTTGGTACTTTAAATAAATTTTGAGTCCTTGAGTTCAGAAAGCATGTCTTATTTATCTTTGGATGTCTAGTGTGTTTATGATTTGCAGTGAATATTGAATAAATCCTTAATGAATGAAATAATGATTGAAGAGATCTTAACATTGGGTCTGTGGGTACAAGGTGGGCTCTGTTTTTACAAACATGAGCTCATTTAATTCTGGACTATTGATTCCATTTTGCAGATATGGATCAATTTTATTCACCCTTGTATCCCTATTGCTGAACATAGTACCGGAAGTAGAAACTCAACAAATACCTGCTTCTTAAATTGGGCTGCCAGAGTGAAGTATCATAGATTGAGTGGCTTAAACAACAGAAATTTGTTTCACACAGTTCTGGAGTCTAGAAATTTGAGATCAGGGTGCCTGCCAGCATGGGCAAGTTGTGGAGAGGGCCATTTCCTTGTTTGTAGATAGGTGGCCACCTACTTCCTATGTCCCATCACAGGGCCCCACCTTTATGACTTCATCTAAAACTAATTACTTCTGTAAGACCAAACACCATCATGTTAAGGGTCAGGGCTTCAACATATAAATTTGGGAGTCGGGGAGGAAAATAAACATTCAGGCCATAGTATTGATATTTGAGTGCATGAATGAGAACTCTATGGGCTAGGGAAGGTATTACCATCATGTACCATTGAAGAAATGGGGTCTGGGAAAGATTAAAACTTGTCCTTAATCACAAGCTAAGGAAGCCAAGGCTTGGCTTGCCTGCCCTGCCACATGGCATTCAGAGAGAGTAGCAGGATGCTTCTCTGGACCAGGCAGTTCATTGACTGGGGAGAAGCTTCATTCCATAAGCAGCTGTTGGGCTATTACAGGGCCTGACTTAAGAAGATGCGCTGGGACAATCACATTAAGAATTTGAACCAAGAAACTGAAAAAATGGGGCATTAGTAGTGAGATCCCAGATAAAAACTTTTTCAGGGTGGTAGGCTGGAGTTACAAGGGGGTATGTAGACTAAATTGGGAGACCACAACTGATTCCCAGTGGAACCCTGTGGTCCCAAAGGCCTTCACATTCAGGTTCCAGTTTGTTTCTTTATAGTCTACACCCTGTCCTGCCCAGCATTCAAGGTGACGCTGGTGTTTGTTCTTTGCAACTAAAGGTTTTAACAAAACTCCAAGGATTGAAGGATTGAAACCCAGGCCTTCTCTCTCTCTCTCTCTCTCTCTCTCTCTCTCTCTCTCTCTCTCTCTTTCTCTCTCATATAGAGCTCTGTTCACTCTTTCACAGCTGGAGGCATTGTCTTTGTACAGATGTTAACAGAAAGCCAGGCCAAAAAAAAAAAAAAAGCACATATTAAATGTATTTTGATGACAATAAGAAAAGCTGTAATTGTGAAGTGAGTGGGAAGAAAGAGCCAGCGAGGCAAACCAAATCCCCTCTCAATTTAAGCTAGACCAGTAGGAGGGTCCCAAGAAACCTAAAATAGGCCTTTAATGGAGTCTGTTCGCTTCAGCCTCTCTGCTTTCTTTGGATCCAAATCCCTAGGAGTTGTGCTGGCCCCCTCCTGCCACCTCCACTTGCTGTCCTGCTTGCCCAACACAGCGGGAGAGGGAGACTGGGGAGACCCGGTGGCTACTCAGCATGTGGACTTCCACACCTCAAGGCTGTGAGGGTGCTAAGAATACATAATGGTTTCTCTCTGCGCGTGGCCTTTTGACACACAGCTAATGAATATATGCCAGGTACAAATCGTTCTTTCCCACAAACTGTTCTGCAGGTCTCCAGCGAAACAATTACCCTGTTCCACTTAGAATGACTCAAGGACGGATCTGAGGGCTGGCTCGTGTTGCAGCCTGACTGTTTTCCTGCCTTCTTCCCTGCTTTAGCATTTGCGTTGAAAAGTTAAAATACAAAACTCTGAAGTTCTCCCACCCCACCCCACGCATCTGCATGTGGGGGCAGCTGGCTCTCCAGTCCTTCTGGTGGCAGCTGGGGACGCTTTTTATGCACTGAATGGGCAGGTTCACGATGCTGGGCAGTGACAATGGCCAGCCCAGAGGGGTTGGTTCACCCCCTCACTTCTGTGAAAAGATCCTTCTACTTGATGTTACCTACTTGGGGGTCACCTTTTGAAAAGTCTGAAAAGAGCTTATCTTACAATCAACATTTCCCAGAATCAATCACAAGCCACAGGCCATGAAAAGAAACAGAATTTGATATAAAGTGCATTCAATGTACATTATTGTTCAAAGTTTGCAGAGCTGAAGGCCAGTCATTGGAATGTTTTCAGAGGGATGATTTTTAGAAGCTGTAAATACCTGAAAGCACTGATAAAAATCAAGAGCAAGATGTCCTGTTTGAGCTGGAATTTTCAGGGGCTTAGGGGTGATGATCTTAAAATTTGAGTTCATTTTTCATTTTGGAGCTAAGCCTGAAAAAAGCACTGAACTATGGAAAAAAAGTGACAATTAAGATCCAATCATAAACCCCAAACCTCCAGAGTATAGTTCTCATTCTGTTTAGACTGAAACCACAGTATCCTGATAGATGTATCTTTAAGAAAAGCATCTTGGTAGAACTGCAATGTGACTTTCGTGTCTAAGAGCATGTTGCCATTTTCCAAGAAGTGTTCAGATATGAAAGCAGAGTAACTCCAAGGAGGCATATATATAATTACATTTTCAATTACTTGAATTAAAACTATTTTTAGTTTTCTCTGGTAACGTGGCTAGCCCATAATACCAGTGATTTAATAGAACACTAAGGTAGCTGTTGCTTGAGAGTATTTTGCTGATGTGGTTAATACCTGCAGTCAGTTGACCTCAAATTTAGGACCCTCTAAAATATGGGTGGGCTTCATCCAATATGTTGAAAGTCTTAGGAGCAAAATCTTAGGTTTTCTGGGGAAGAAATTCTGTCTCCAGTTTGCACCATCAACTCCTGGCCAACTATCAGTCTGCTGATCTACCTTTTAGATTTCAGGCTTGTCAGTCCTCACAACTGAATGAACCAATTCTTCAAAATACACCTCTTCTTATTTATTTATTTATTATTGGTTTGGTTTCTGTGGAAAACTCTGATCAATACAATCATACTTATGTACAAGTCATACATAATAACTAATAATAAAATTAATTTTTTTTTAGTGTTTTTGGGGATTGAATTCAGGGCTTTCTTACATGCTGGGAAAGTGCTCTACCACAAAGCTATACTCCCAGTCCAATAGGTAGAGCTAGAAATTCAGGAAGGTTCAATCTGGATGAATCTGCATTCTGCTCCTCTATGAATTTGAATTTAGCACATTGACCACATTCTTAATTTTAACCCCAGTGCCACAAAATGCAAGAGAGATGGGAAGTGAAGAAGATGTTTGGGTTGTCAGGCTGCCTGGGGATGTGCACAGAAGCATGTAGGGTGTTGTTGAGAGCCACAGCCAAAGGGGCCCCAGCAAACTTCCAGCTGCCAGCAAACTTCCAGCTGCCGGCTGATGATTGGCTCACAGCGGCCCCAGCAACATCTAGCTGATTGGCTCCTCTGTGGTGATGTTCATTGGGCTGTTTCCCTGCCCTTTCAGACCACGGAGCTGCTCATTGGGGGACTTCTTTGGCTCCGCCCACACGACCCAGCCAATCGGCCTCAAGAGCAGGAGGATTGTGGGAGTTGGAGAGGCTGGTGTTGGGGTGAGAGGCTTGTGGGAAGCTGGTGGTGACAGTTGGGCTCTGAGGGTTTTTTCCTGAGGAGCTGTTTTGTTTGGCCTGTGTAGTTCTAAAAATAAAGTTAGTTTCTTTTGACAAGTGGCTCCTGAATTGTGCCCAGCCAGACTGTGGCAGGGTGTAAAGAGCCAGCAGGGGCTTTCAGCAACTGAGGCCACATGGTCACTCTTCCCTCTCACATCCCAGAGCAAGGAGCTTTCAGGAGGAAGTTTTCATGCATGTGTCTCTGTGGTGTTGGAGACAGAACCCAGGGCCTTGCACGTGCTAGGTGAGCACTCTATCACCTGAGCTATACCCCGGCCCCGGAGTAAGTTTTGGGGACAGAAGGTGAAGAAATCTCTATTACTAATGGACTCTTGGACAAGGAAAGGCTTCCTATTCTAGACAAAAGGCCAAACAAGAATATACCTCACACATGAAGAAATATATTTATATTTTACTAAATATAATGACATAGACAAAGGAAATGTAGGTAACACAGAACTAGAATCCAAGCCCAATTTATGTCTTTTAAAAATAAAGGCTCCATATGATAAAATTATTTTCAAGTATCAAGAATGGAATATTTATTTCATTTTTTATAAGAGAAATAATTCAATATCTAGTCTCTGCCCATGAGTGAATCACTTTCCTAAAATACACAGTTCTTCCCTAAAGCCTGAATTCTGCTTATGTTTCTCACAATCATTAAAGAACAGTTAACGTTAACTTGTTTGAGACTTCTGTTTTCAAACACCTGGAGGACCTTCATTAGAAGCAAGATGCATTTCTAATCCACCCATCTAAATCTCTTAATCCCAGAACAAAGTCTCAAAAATTGAAAAATGAAGGAAGCAGGAGTCAAGCTGTAAGCATGGTAGATGTCTATTTTTGTTTATGTGTGGCAGAACTTGGCTACCTGTTCACCAAACCTGTTTCCTCTTTCTCCTGGCCCATAGCTAGGCTTTAGTTCCCAGTTTCCTGGTGAGGTTATGTGACAAAGTTTTGACCAATGGAATGTAAGCAAAAGTGGTGCGTGCCATTTCTCAGCCTGTTCTCCCTGCCCAACTTTCCACAGGGCGTCCTCCATTCTCCTTCCAATTTGGCAACAACCCTGGAAACCATTGGTGAAGAAAGAAGCCACAGCTGGAGGGAGCCTGGATCCTTGAAACACCAGCTGAAGAGATACTTATTGATCAGAGACACCTGTATTGAAGTTCATGTGAGTAATAAATAAATGGCTATTGTGTTAAGTCATTGAGATTAGGGGTCCATTTGCTAAGACAGCTACTGAGTCCTTAACCAACACAGTGGGGGGATAGCACAGTTTTTCACTTTTAACATACAGCAGAGAAGGTGTACATCAAGTTTGCTTAATCTATTGATTGGGAATGCAATTTATAGCAATGTAACTAATTAATGAAATGCCAAATCAACTCCAAATGTGGGTGCCATATAGAATTTATTATCAGGAGCTTGAATATATGATAGACATTAAATATGACATTTCAGCTCTAGATTTTGACCAGGAATTTTTTTCTCAAGAACTGGATTAGTATGTTATGAGTATTCATGTGTCAGATGGTCTGAAAATTTTTTTTTATCAGTGTAGAAAGTGGACTCAGTGGTAACCTTGGAGGATACAGGATGGCTAGAGTTATGGGAAGGTATTTACCCTATAGGTATTTGACCTACACTAAGGGCACATAGCCACCCAGTACACAGTGAATAATGGATAAGTTAGTATGGTCTCCTGCTCATAGAATATAACCAACACACAGACACACTCATACACTGCTGGTGGAACTGCAAATTGGTGCAGCCAATCTGGAAAGCAGTATGGAAAACTTGGAATGGAATCACCATTTCACCAGCTATCCTACTCCTCAGTCTATACCCAAAGGACTTAAAAACAGCATACTACAGGGACACAGCTACATCAATGTTTATAGCAGCACAATTCACAATAGCTAAACTGTGGAACCAACCTAGATGCCCTTCAGTAGATGAATGGATAGGGAAACTTTGGTATATAT